GAGGGGAGCAGCGGGCGAGACAGGAGAGGTCTGCTGTGCCATCTGGGTCACCTCCCTGGCCGGCGATTGAACTCATGCTGTAGAGGTTGTAGATCGCTTCATAGTGTTTCAACTTAATCCCTTGTGCCACCAGGGAGGCCCAAGAGTGCTTTTTCTAAAAAAAAGAGGAAAGAAAGAAAAACAACTCATGGAGAAATTTGAAAACAAATATGAAGAAATGCTTCCATCACTTTTCTGTCAAAAGTGACATCTCACCTAAAAAACTACCATATATATTTAAACATGGAAATAGAGGAGCCCTAGAGTGTGAGCTAGTAAGCTTACCTCCCGTGGACCTGTTTTTACTTCATGTGTCTTCTGACTTTTTAACAACATCAAAGAGCTTCATTGAGGATGGACATACATTGAGCTGCACATCATAGAAGTGTGTAGCCCGATGTTTGCCAGAGGCATACCCCCTTGAAACCAGCGCCACGGTCAAGAACTCTGTTTCAATGGCTGTTAAATACCAATACCGTTGTAGATCAAACAAGGCTTAGAACCAGCTATTTGCTCTATTTCAGCGTGAAGACACTGTTGAAAAATAATAAATGGACAGGCACAGCTCTCCGTTCGTATATGTAGGTGACACACAATGACATCCATCCTCCACGAAACACTGCCCCAACTAGAGGGTCAAGTCAGCACCGACAGTAACAAGTCACAGCAACAGTCTGTTCCCTTAATGTGGAGTCGTGAGTATGACACTTCACCTCTGTGGTCTGGCACCAAAGCACATCTTCCCAGGCCACACCAGCAGAAAAATATCAGACAGCAGCGTTTATCAAAATACCTGTCCCTAGCAGGCCTCCCTGTTGGTGCAAGGGGTTAAGGCGCAACACTATGAAGCTCTCCAGAAGCCCCTGCAGCATGAAACGCCCTGCCAAGGAGCTGATCCACATGTCATAGCAGACCTCTCCTGTCCTGCCCGCTGTTCCCCTAAGTAGTGCATTTCAGTAGATCTGCCTGTTCTGCTCCCCACTCTGTCTCTAGTGAATCCTCTCTCCTCCAAACCCCTGGCCTGTACCCCAGTTCTTGTATGCACAAATAAATAAATCTTCAAAAACAGAACACCTGACCCTACTCCTCAAAACTGCCCAAGTCATCAAAACAAGTCTGAGAAACGGCCAGAGTCATGAGGTGTTTAGAGACACACAAAGGACGTGGTATCCTGCAACAGAAAAAGGACATCTGGGAAAAAACTTGGGAAAGCTGAGTGAACTGTGGCCTTTAGTTGAGAGAGAGAAAGAATGAAAATGGTCTCTTGACTTTAACTAAAACTAGTATTATTTTACTGGAGCCAAGACTTTGGGCTGTTATTTTTAAAAATTTGGAAAAAAATGTTCATCTTTTTTATGCTTTCCAAGTTTCTATTCATGATAGAACGTGCAGTCTTTGAAATAACCATGCACACAGGGCACACCCTGAATTCTTTTTTGTTTAAATGGAGGCTGTTATTCTAACCAGGAAGGGCCACTGACCAGTTGTTTTAAGTTCTCCCAGACCTGGGTCAACTTGGCCAGAAAACTGAAGCTTCCTCAGGAAATTATGCCCCATCCAGGTGAAGGATTTCAGAAAAAGTTTTTAATTGTATCTCCTGTGTATTTCTCTGGATACCTGGGTTACGCCACAGCGTCACGCACTAACAGTCTATAATTGTTAACATCTGCTGGACATTAAGCACCCCAAACAGAGAGAACAGACATAGCTTCCCCTTACTGCACAATAGGAAACATGTTCTGCCTTTTTGGCTAAAGATCACGTTATCCTTTGTCTCAGAAAAAAGGAACAAGTCGCACATCACACAAACCTTGGCTCTGTTCAGAAGAGCATGTGACCTTGTGGCCAAGTTTCAGCTGTGAATGAGAAGCCACAAGGCCCCTTAGAGCTCCTCCTTTCCCTTCTGTCCATGTTCCCTACTTCTAATGAGTAACGTGACCTACCATGTTCCTTTGGAGCAGACCCCCCGGGGTTCCCCAAACCTTAGGGCTTCACCACATTGCAATTTGTGTCCCCTAAGATATCAATGTTACAAGCGATGCAAACCAGAGATTGCCAGGGCACCTGGGCTCCCACTGGGACCTGAAAGCAGACAGGGAAGTAGGAGGCCCTCACTCAGCTGGGAGTTGTGGGCACCTGAGGCTGAAAGCAAGGTGGGCAGGGCCACATTCCTCAGAGGACAAAGCTGAGTCACCAAAGCAGAAACCAGGCAGTGAGTAAGTTTCCCTACCCCACAGGTGGGGAAGGTGCCACGAGGGAGCACAGTGGAGCTGGACAAGGGCGAGGCCTGTGGGGCAGTCCCTGCCTTAGACTCCCTAGGGTGTTTCCTCTCCAAGAGACAGCTTTATATAGATATCGTATCTACAGATCTCTATCAACCCAGGGGGAAGGAGAGATGTAGTGGCCAGGGCCGTCCAATCAAACTCTGGTCACCTCTGAAGTGACCCCATTTGGGTAATGATTGTGTACATAGAAACTTCTGCCGTTCTCCAGTCCCAAGCTTTCTCAGGCCCACCACCCACAGGAGTGTTGCTCATGGATGAAAGTCCGGCAGCTGACCAGTGGGACAGTCCTAGTTGACAGGCAGGAGCTTGTGGGGTGACACACCACGGCTCACTGCCTTCTAGAAATGACTGTGTCAGAGCTGGGTGTGGGTGTCTGCACCGCCCCTTGCCAGTCAGAAGACCTCAGCTTTCTGTAAGGGGGTTACCCAGATGATAAGGGTTAAGATGATTAACTGAGACACTACCTGTAAGGCAGTTAGCAGGTTACTAAAATAAACGAAGCCAGTCTGTTAGATATCGAATCCGCTAGTGAAGGCTTACAGCCACTTTCCAGTGGAGTCTGCAGAGGGTCAGGTGACAGCAGCTTCACTGGTAGAAACTGGCTTCGAGAAATGAAAAGTTTCATCTTTCTCACAACCTTCCTGCCAGCAAGGTGAGTGGCCCAGGTGCCCAGAGAGGGTGAGGCAGAAGGGGAAGTGCTGATGTTACCAAGGTCCAGCCAGTTCAACTGGTTTTTATCCCAGGGCATTTCCTGGCCAGAGGCTCATAAAACACACTCTCCCTCCCTCCCTTTCCAGTACCTTCCCAGGGAGATACTGCCTTTGTGTACACATGGACATTTACACAGATACAGGGAGTATTACCTTAACCATAGAGGTAGAGCCTGCAGTTAGCAAAGTGTTGGTTTTTATTTTTTTAAGTTTTTCTTTTTTTAAATATTTCTCTGCATACAAGAACTGGGGTGTAGGCCAGAGGTGCGGGGGAGCAGTGGGTGAGATAGGAGAGGTCTGCAGCATCATGTAGATTAGCTAGCCCTAAACCTGGCTGGCCCAGATAGTACTTGTGCTGTGGTGGCTGACAATACTTTGATAGCACCATCTTTAACCTTGCACTGCCAGGGAGGCCGCCGGATGACTAGTGTTGTAAATGTAGTTACCACGTAAACAAACCTCTTTTAGTGACAAACACCGCCTCCTAGTGGCAGGCTGTTTAAGAAACTAAACATTGCTCTGAAAATTCAGCTCCTATTTCTCAGTCACTGCTTCCAGTATCAAAAACAAAAGACTCAATACTAAAATATATTAGTATCTTAAGAGTAAATTTTGCTGGATAAAACTCTTTATTGATGTTCCCCCTCCCCTTTATTTAAAGCTAACTGGTACTTTATTTTTAAATTTGATCAAATGTACATTTATAAGAAATCAATAGCTCAAAAGAAAGTTAGAGAAAGTTCTAAAAGTTCTCACACGTACATTCTCATGGTTTTATGATCATGAAAAGCAGGCATGTCAAAAGACACAGTAAGACAAAGGAGCAGCTCTTCTGCTATTTAAAAGCATAATCATAAACCTCACTAAGAAGGTTGGAAGGTCAAAGCAATCACTCAAGAATATAGAATAAAACTTCATAAAAATGGAAAACTTTTTAAAGAAAAAGCAATCAGAGTGGTTCAGGGTTCAGTCACCTAGACTTTTAGAAACAAAATATAACAATGAAGGAAATCATTGAAAAGAATAATGAAAGGATATTTTTGAGTTCAGGACACTATTCAAAGGGAAGGCAATTTCCCTCTTATTTTTATCACAGGGTTTTAAAAAATTTTTCTTACACTGTTGCTAATTTTTGGACAGTATTCCGTGTCTCCCTCAGCAGTTCCCTTAGCCCTCCCACCACCACAGACAGCAACACCATAGTCCCTTGTGCTATTCCCGCCTCTGTTTTTTAAAACGGGTGCAGGCCAGAGTGAAAGGATCCACCACAGAGGGGGCGCAGAACAGGTTGACTGACTGAAATACCCTGCAGATGAGGTGAGACAAGAGAGAGATGCTGCACCATGTGGGTCACCTCCATGAGGGGGATGTGGGGGGCGGGATCAAACTTACACAGAGGTGGCTGCAGATAGCTTCATAGTGCTGAGACTTATTAACCCTCTGTGCCACCAAGGAGGCCCTTCCCTCCTGTTTTGACCCCTCTCCTTCCCCTGTTCTAGGCCTCAGATCTATGGTGAGCGGGCAAGTTTTGTCTTTTTCTTGATCCTTTGTTTGGTGTCTCTATATTCCACATATATGTGAAACCATCCAATATTTATCTTTTTCCTTTTGATGTACTTTGCTCAGCATAATCCCTAACAGCTCTATCCATGTTGCTGCAAATGACAAGCTTATCTTTTCTGATCACTGAGTATTGTGTGTACATTATCATATTAAAAGGAGACACACACTAATCTGAAAGGAAATGTGCAATCCAATGTTTATCGTAGCATTACTTACTACACCCTTATTTTTTTATATGAAAAATGAAATTCAGGGCCAAGAGTCCAGCTTGTACAATAAGACCACCCCTGCCTCTGCCATTCAGTTCTCCAAGGAAGGTACCAGAAGAGCCTCATGGTAGGAGGGTGAACATTGCCCATTCCCCCTCACCCCCCAGATTCCTGCTGGGGTAATAAAACACAGATTCTTGGTGGAAGTTAAAGTATTTATTGATGTGTTTAAACTCTGTACATTCTCCACAGATCAAGTTAAGAAGTTTGTAGGTGAAGTTTATCTGTGCATAGTGGGAAGAGACAGGGTAGGTAGGACTTGGGGAGGAAGAAGAAAAGAACAATCACAGGGAAATAGAAAATAATACACCACAGTTACGGGAACCTTCAGAGTGAAAAAAAAAAAAAGAAAAGAAAAGGCTGTGAGCATCAACTATACAGACATTACAAAGACGTGTGTAGGAAGGAAACAATCGTCACAGCTTTCCACGTGTTTACAGACGCACAGTGTGGAACAGCCTTCTTCCACAAGAAAGCACCCCAGCCCCCCCACACACACCTGCCACTGCCATCTTCTCTGAGGGACATCAGGGAAGGTGGTGGCAGGAGGGGACAGCAGAGAGGTCAAGGTGTGTGGGATCAGGCAGGGTCAGTGCCTTCAGAGGGAAGTGTCCACGGAGGAGAAAGCACGTCAGGACATTACTGGGGAGGGAGTGAGCGCAGATGGCGGGTGGTGGAAGAACATCATATACAAACTACCAGCTAATTTCTGTGGAAGAACTGGATTTAAAAGCAAAGCAGTAGTGGGCCCTAATCTCTATACTTTAGGCTCACTAAGAGGTGCTGGGACTCAAATGCGCTGAACCTCCTTGGCGAGGGGCTTGTGTGGCCACCAAACAGCGGGAACACCAGCCTCCCAAGGACCTGGCCCTTGACAATGGTTCTGAGAGGCCATCACGACACGCTTCCCTGTCATCACAGCTCTGCTCCGTTTCGCTCCTCAGCAACTTCCTGAAAGCTCGTTAAAAAGGGAATACTGCCTTCTTCTCTTCTTTTTTTTATAAAAACCAGGACAGTGAAAGAGCCTTATCAAGTTGATTTACACAATGCAACCAGAACAAACAGCCTGCATATACAGTCTATTACTGAAAATCAACATTTTCCATTTGTATAGATAGCATGTATGAGACAATATGATAGAAGTGGGATTTCCGATTAATTAAAAAAAAGTAAACTACATCAGTCAAATATCTGCAATAGATCATTTTTTCATTTCATTTAAGGTTTATATATCATATATTGTTATATTAACATTTTTCACCCATTTAAAAGAATGGAAATTGTGATTCTACAGTAGTACTTTATAGTCTTAATGATCCAGGAGGTCTGAATGTAAGATGAAATCCTCTGGAAGTGGCTGGCCAGTAGTCGGTCCAAAATGCTGGACGTCTCCTGCCCACCTCCACTGCCCCACTCCAACCGGGGGTGCTCGAGCTTCCTCCCATTTAAATCTGCATCTGCTCCAGGTATTTGTAGGTTGGGTTCTCGTAACCATGGTTCTGCATCTTGTTCAGGTGACGCTCTTCTGGCGTAAGCATTGGGTCAACCTGGAGGAACAGACAGGGCACATCACTGAGGCACTGTGAGAAATACACCGGTCAGAGCTGTGTGCACTGGGGGCCCCCAGAGTCTAGTGATCCACTGGTCAGACAAACAAGAGCTGAGGGCAGGGTGTAGGAGACAGAAGCTGTGGTCCTGAAAGTATCACTCAAGTTGGAGAAAACAGAACCTGAACTTCTCTGCCTAGCCAGTCTCAGTTCTGCCATCTCCAACTTTGGATAGGCTTTGCTTACAAGGAGTAGCACCAGCTGATTCCTAGGGGTTTCTCCAACCCTGAAAGTCTACAATTACATCAGTCTCCAGCAGGAAAGGAAGCCAAGTAACTAACACATGCAACTGAACTAATCTTCCAGAGCGTATTGTATTTTAAAATAAGATTTATATTTATTTATGCATTCAAGAACTGGGGTGTAGGACAGAGGTGCAGGGGTAAATGAATTCACCAGAGACTGACTGGGGAGCAGCGGGTGAGACAGGAAAGATCTTCTGTGCCATGTGGGCCCCTCTCTGGCTGGGGATTGAACTCAGGCCACAATGGCTGGTGACAGCTTGATAGTGTGAGACTTAACCCCTGTGCCACTGGGGAGACACAACATATTAATTCTTTACCGCAGTCATTTTCTAGAATCAGGACTTTGGACACTGCCATCACCCAAAAAACGAGTGACAAGAACTATCAATTACAAATCATATGGAATAGAAACCACCTATTCTGGCTTTTTAAATTTCCTGTTGTTTTTTTCCTCCATTAAGAAAGAAAGGCATCCAAAAAATCAATGAAACCAAAAGTTGGTTCTTTGAAAAAATAAACAAGA